CCAAGACCCTCCTGGTCTTGGTGTACCTTGTGCCCTTGGAGACACCAAGGGCCAGGTATCTTTTCTCTCTCTCCCCTTCCTCTACTAACCCACTCTCCATACCTCTCTCTCTCTCTCCTCTTACTCATACCCCTTCCCCCAACCCCACCTTTTCTCCCACCACCCATTCTTTTACTCTATTTACTTCATCTCTTATTTTCTTTCCTCCTTTTCTCCTTGCTTCTTGATCCCTCTCCACCTTTCCCCAACCCTCCTCTCCCCCAACTACCACCACATCATCCCCCCACCTCCAACTTCATCTTTTTCTCTCTCCCACCTATTTCCTTCTTTTCTCCTTCACTTTTTCATTCCCCTTCCCCCCTACTTCGAATTTTTTCTGTTTTTTTTTTTTCTATCTCCCTTTTGATTTATATTTTCTTTTTTTCCAAAAATTCGAAATATCTTCCTTCCCACCTTCTTTTCTCATTTTCTGATTTATTTTATTTATTTTTTTATTTATTCTGAAAATTCGATTTTCTTTACGGCAACCCTAAATCTGATTAGGTGTTAGTCTTTCTTGCTTTCGGCACACGTTTTGACCCCGTGGTTTTCCTTTAGTCTTCTCGGCACACTTCGACCCCATGGGGGTAACGAAATGCTGCCAAAATTTTTGACAAATTAGATACTTCATTCCTCCCCACCTCCTCATCCACTTTCTACTTCTTTATTTATTTATTAATTTATCTATTTATCTATTTATCTATTATTTCTTTATTTATTTTTTGAATTTTTTTTTTTTTTTTTTTGCGGCATCTTGACACCTAGTGTGCTCACCTTGGTCTCTCCTTTCCCCTTGGCACATTCTTGACCCCGTGGGGGGTAGGGAAATGCTGCCGAAGAATTTCACAAAAATAAATATTATTTTCCCTTCACATCTTTTTACTTTTTTTTTTATTATTTTTATTATTTATTTATTTCCTTATTTATTTTTATTTTCTATCGAATCTCGCTATTTATTTATTTTTCTCTCGCCCTTTCCCCCCTTGCTATTTTATTTTCTTGATAAGGTCACCGACACCGTACCCTAACCACTCAAACTCCGGTTAGGGTTTTCTTAGTGTTTTTCTAGGGTTTAGGGTTCTTCAAAACCCCCCCTACTTCCCCGTCCTCTTCGGGCACCCTGGACCCGAACCAACCCTCCTCCTTTGACGGCGCCCGCGCTAGCCTTGCTAGCGCCGTTCGCCGCTTTCTACCGCGGACTTCCCCCTACGCCCTCCGCTCTCACGGACCTCTTCTGGCCCTCTCCAGTCCGGTCCGTCATCTCCCCATGGCCGACGGTGTGTCACACGCCGCCGACACGGCGATGACCACGACATCGGGTTCCACACCCGTGCCGGCGGACCAGGGCCAGCAGCCCCAGGGGGATCTGCACACCCTCCTCACCTCCCTCCTTGCGCCCATCCAGGCACAACTCGCGACCCTTGCGCCCATCCAGGCGCAACTCGCGACCCTCGCGCCCTTACAGGCGCAAGTGGCGACCCTTGCCGCCGGCTTGCAACAACTCCAGGATGTTGTGTGTCCTCCATCTCCTGGCTCCCAGTCCGGGTCCCCCGTCCTCCGACAGGGTGGCCACGGCGGAGCTTCCTCCTTCGCCGCCCCCGACCCGGCCATCTTGGTGAGTGTCCACGCCCATAGCACAATGGCGGCAACGAGCCAGGCCCTCCTTCAGTCCACGGGCGCACCCGCCCAGATTCCGGTCACGACGGCCACGGGACCACAACCCGCTACCATGGTCTCAGCTTTTCCGGGTGCCCCAATTTTCCCCCCTCTTTGCACGACCGCAGCGCCATCTGGCTCTCCCCCTTGTGGGATGCCTCGCGCCGCTCGTGCGTCTCCCCCTGCTATACCTCGCTCGACTTATGTTCGAGGTCTCGACGACGAGATCGCCCAGCTGCGGACCGATCTCGCCCTCTCACGCCTTCAGCCACCCCCACCTTCACAGGTGGCCGCGCCTTCCGGCGCACCCTCTTCTTCCTCTATTCTTCCTTCCATGCAAGCTCGCTTCCCTCACCCTGCACCCTACCCATCCCCATCCTACCTCCTCCCCATCCCCTCGGTTGCTGCGACCTCTTCTACCGCAGGTCCCGTGCAGCCTACCGCTGTTTCCCTCGCCGCTCCACCATGCGGCCCGACCGTACAGTCAGCGGCACCCCCTCCTCCAGGACCTGCGCCGACTTATTCAGTCGTGGCGCAGTCCCCTGCTCCTCGATCCCCTCGCCGCCAAAACGGTGGCGCACCACTCGTCCGCTTGACGGACATTGCCTTGTATGACGGTACAGGCATACGCATGTCTAGGTGGCTACAGTCTGCCACCCGCACGCTCCAGCTCATGGGTGCCGCCCCCGACATGTGGGTGGCTCACCTCTCCACGCGCCTGTGTGGCGGTCCTTCTGACGCCTGGGAGGATTTCTACGCTTACTCCGTTCGTGCGGGTCGGACTCCGACCTTCATGGATTTCCAGGCGTTCCTCGAGGATCGCTTCGGAACACGATATGACGTGACTGACGCCTTTGAGCGTGTCGTCACTACACGCTGGTCCGGCTCTGGTGGCGCGGCCGGCCTGGATCGCCACATCCAGGTCTTTCAGGACGCCCGCCTCATTTGTGACATGGCGTTCCTCCCCGAGGCGGCCCTTATCGATCGTTCTTGGCCAGCCTTCCGCTCGAGTACCGCTCCGAGCTATGGCGGTACGAGTTCACATCGGCCCCGCAGGCTTATAAGGCCGCCAGGGACCATCATCGGATGCGGGCCCGTCTTCACCCCGCTTCCTCCTCCCAGCCACAGCGTACTGGTTACGCCGCATCCTCCTCTCACGGCACTTCCCAGCGCCGTTCCCCYTTYCGCGGTCGCCCCCGCCGTTCCGCGCAACAGGGCCGCCACTTCTCGCGCCGCTTCAGCGCGCTCGCGTATGGTGAGCAGGACGCTGGTGCCTCGCTGTCGCCAGAGGGTGATCAAAGCGATGACCTCGACCTCGGTGATGCCGTCCAGCACCACCTGGAGGACCCTACTCTCCCTATGGCTGAGCGCCTCCAGCTTATCCTCTCCACCCTTTCTCGGGCACGCAACCGCCCTGGTCACGCTGGCGCGTCGCCCCCCGAGGTCCCTCAGCAGGACCTCCCTCAGGGCTTTGTTCCTCCTCGCGGTGTTCTTTCCGCTGAGGAGCGCACGGCTATTATGGGCCGACGTGGGTGTTTGCGATGCCGTCAGGACGGTCATACCTCCTCGCGGTGCCCTTATACCACCGCCCTCGACCGCCACTACGCTGACCTTTCCCGCCAGCGTCGTGCTCAGTCCCCCCCTGACGCCTCGCATCCCCGCGGCGCCTCCTAGCTACGGTGCAGTGTCCACCTGCGCCCTCATCAGTAGTGGGCTTCCCGACATCTCCGTCGAGGTTCGCCCCTCTCGCTACTGGAGCTGAGGTATCGCAGGACTCGACAGAGTGTACTCAGTCCTCTGTCGCAGTACCGTCTGCGCCTCCGCAGACCACCGTCTCCCCTCCTTCCCCGCCGCAACGACCGACGCGTCGAACCATTCGCTCAGCCCGTTGCAGCGAGCAGCTCGCTACTCGCGAGGATGTTGGGTCCTCTCTTCTGGACTTGAGCATGCTCCAGGCTCGTCAGGAGCGACTCACCCTCCATGTCGTTGCCTTGTGTCGCCTTCTCACCATCCTCTCTGACCCTGATCGCACCCTCCCAATCATCCCAGTACGACTGGGGGCCTCCACAAGGGTGTACTTGGCGCTGTGGGATTCCGGTTCTCAGGGCGACTTCATTCACCCACGCGTGGTGAAAGAAGCCCGCTTACCCACGACAGGGTCTCCGACTCCCATCTCCGTGACCCTAAGGGATGACAAGACCCAGCGCTTCTTCGATCAGACGGTCACCGACCTCCCTTTCTTCCTCACTCTCGAGCAGACTGATCGTTTCCTGGCGTCTCGTCGCCACCGCTCCTTTGCACATTTCGATGTGATGGAGACGGGGTACGACTTCATTCACGGCACTCCGTGGTCTCGCCGGTTCCGCAGCACCGAGGCCGATTGGGCGACCAACACTCTCGTTCTCAAAACGAAGTGTGGACAGACGTATCGCGTGCCTTTCATAGGTACCACTGCGACACCACGCCCCGATCCTCCTCCCCCGGAGCCTTCCGTGCCCACACCACCCCCTTCTATCGCTGTCACCTCGCCTCGGCAGCTCGCCCACTTCCTCCGACAGGACGACGTCACCTTCTTTATGGTGAACGTGACGGATCTCTTACACTATGATCCACCTTGTCCTGAAGCCGAGCTTATCCCTCTGGAGCCAGATCCTCCTTCTATCTCCATGGCTCCCATCTCTACTTCCGTCCCTCCACCGTCCGTCGAGTCCACCCTGTCGTCGCGCGCTGACGCTGACGCTGAGGAACTCGCATGCTATACGGCTGACCTGGAGCCCGCAGTTCGTAACGTCATTCGAGAGTACCACGACGTTTTCCCATCGTCGTTCTCGTACGCCGGCATCCCACCGATGCGCGACGTCGAGCACTCCATCCAGCTTGTGCCTGACTACCGTGTTCACCACCAGGCACCCTACAGACTCTCGATCCCCGAGGCCACAAAACTCGAGCGTCAGCTTGAGGAGCTCCTGAGACAAGGTTTCATTAAACTCAGCAACTCCCCGTGGGGTGCACCCGTCCTCTTTGCTCGCAAAGCGGATGGAACTCTCCGTCTCTGCATCGACTACCGCGGTCTCAACCGCTACACGGTTAAGAACAGCTACCTTATGCCTCGTTCCGATGAGCTGTTCAACCGCCTAGCAGGCAACCGCTTCTTTACGAAGATTGATCTTTGTAGTGGTTACCATCAGATCCGCATCGCTGCAGCCAACCAGCCGAAGACCGCGTTCCAATCGCGATTCGGCCACTACGAGTTCACGGTGATGCCATTCGGCCTCACCAATGCACCCGCTACCTTCCAGAGGGCGATGAACRACATCTTCAGGGACATCCTGCAGCAGTACGTTCTCGTCTACCTCGACGATATCCTGGTCTATAGTCGCACCCTTGAGGAGCACCTCAGACACCTCCGCGACGTCCTTGACCGCTTGCGCAGACATGGCTTCTACGCCAAGTTGAGCAAGTGCCGCTTTGCCCAGCACAAAGTGGACTTCTTAGGACACTACGTGTCTGACCAGGGTCTCCACATGGATGACGCGAAGATCACTGCTATTGCGGAGTGGCCCGCTCCCACATCTGCCAAGCAGCTTCGCAGCTTCCTAGGCCTGACCAGCTACTATAGTAATTTCATCCGGGGATACGCTAGGTATTCCAACGTCCTTACCTCCACCCTCCTCCGGAAGAACCCACCCTGGGCTTGGACACCCCTCCACGAGGACGCCTTCCGCGCCCTCAAGAAGGCGGTGACATGYGCACCGGTTCTTCACCTACCCGATTTTGATCGCCCTTTTATCCTTACCGCCGATGCGTCAGACTTTGTTGTAGGAGCAGTGCTTTCTCAGGTCTTCCCCTCCTCTCCTGATTCCTCTCATCCTCGTATCCCTCGCTTCCCACCACCTACCCCTACCACTGCTTCCCGACTGACGCCTACTCGTCCAGCTACTGACGAGCCTTCTATTGACTATTCTCCTACCATTGTCGAGGACGACACTGTCGAGTCTCACTCAGGTGATTGTCCGATAGCCTTCTACTCCCGTCAGCTCCTGCCCGCCGAGATAAACTACACTGTTGATGAATGTGAGGTTCTCGCAGTAGTTTATGCCGCTCGGCACTGGCGTCACTACCTGCACGGGGCACCATTCACGGTGCGCACGGACAACTCTGTTGTCCAGGCTTTTCTGACAAAGCCCACGGTCACTCCTCGACAGGCCCGCTGGTGGCGCGACCTATCTGAGTTTAGTTTCACCACTGAGCACATCAAGGGTGAGACTAATCGGGTCGCAGATGCCTTATCCCGGTGCCCTGACCACGACCAGGAGCAGATCCAACTCTCTTCCATCTCGGTCACCATTGTCCACCACTCGGTGACCGACGAGTTTCGCACTCAGTACCGCCACTGCCCCGACTATCGCGACATCCACGCGACCCTTCGGAGGGGCAAGACCGTCCCAACCTATTCTTTCGGGGACAACGGTCTCGTGTACTGGCACGGTTCACAGGGCACCAGAGAGCCCCGTATTTGCGTTCCCTCCACTGGACAGCTACGTGTCCGAGTAGTAGCAGAGTTCCATGACCAGGCAGCCGCCGGTCATATGGGCTTCCACAAGACGTTGGCTCGTGTGAGCCGCCTGTACGTCTGGCCGAAGCGCAAGGACTTTGTGAAGGACTACGTCGCAGAGTGTCCCACYTGTCAGGAGGTGAACAGTGCGAACCACCTGCCTTATGGTTTGCTCCAGCCTCTTCCTATCCCTGAGGGTCGTTGGCAGTCCATCTCGATGGACTTTATCGGTCCTCTTCGTCCTCTGACCCCCCGAGGTCATGATGCTATTCTGGTCGTCGTCGACCGCTTCACGAAGCGTGCACGCTTTGTTCCGTGCCGCTATGCCATCAGTGCACGTGAGGTCGCCGACATCGTGTTTGATCGAGTCGTGCGTGACCACGGCTTACCTTTGAGCATCATATCTGAATGTGACCCGCGCTTTACCAGCCGATTCTGGCGACGGCTCCACGAGGTGTACGGCACTCGGCTCCGCTTCTCCTCGTCTTACCATCCTCAGACTGATGGTCAGACTGAGATCACGAACAGGACTCTCGGAGATATTCTCCGAAAAGATCGTTCGTGACGACCAGCAGTGGGATCTCCATCTTGCCCACGCGGAGATAGCCTACAACCACGCTGTCTCGCCAGCCACGGGGATGTTGCCTTACTATTGCGACATCGACTATCACCCTCGTGTTCCCGCAGACTTGCTTCGACCGTCACAAATGCACCCCGACACGAGTTGTCCTGCGCTGGATGATTGGGTTGCACACATGATGTCGATCATGAAGACCGCACATGAGCACATAGCCGCTTCCCAGACTCGCATGGCCACACGTGCGAACCGATCGAGGATGGATCACCCATTCAAAGTCGGTGATGATGTGCTTATCGACGCCCGCCATTTATAGCTCGAAGCGGACACGCTTCACAAGTTTCGACGTCGCTTCTTTGGCCCATGCCGCATCCTCCAGGCCGTCGGTTCTGATACGGCATCTAGTTCGGTCAGCTTCCGTGTGAAGCTGCCCGACTACCTACGCCAGGCTCGTGTGCACGATGTCTACCACGTCTCGTTACTGCGTCCTTACCACAGACTGTCTGAGCATTTCGCTGGACGACCATACGAGCGCCCTCCACCCATCATGGTGGACGGCCACGAGGAGTTCCTCGTTTCAGACATCATTGGTCGCCGAGTGACCGACGACAACCCTCCCCACATCGAGTATCTCGTACGGTGGAAGGGTTACCCTGATGAGGAGGCTACCTGGGAGCCCCTCGAGCACTTGCAGCACGCTCGCATGTTGGTGCGTGCCTATGACCGTGCTCGTCGTGCTGAGTTCACTGCTCCTCCTTAGCCCACTGACCCTCCTCCTTCTCCCCCGGCTGAGGAGACCGCTGAAGTCGAGCCTGCTCCATCTGAGGCAGACCTTCAGCAGCAGTCGGATGCTTCTGAGCGTCCACAGCGCACTCGTCGTCGTCCTGCTCGATACGACGATTGACTCTTACTTACCTTCCCACGTCTTTGACTTCTCAGTACTCCATCAACATCAGTTTTGCTACTTCAGCTCGCCGACGTTGTGGCTCTTCCTCGACGGCATTCCGGACTTCTGATCGTGGACGTCATCGGCAGCTTCATGGACTTCGTCACGATCAGCTCTGCCTACTTCAGACGTCATCACTCTCTTACCACTTTACCTTGTACAGTACCCTGCTTGTGTCGCATGATGGTCTCCCTTTAGCCGGGTTCCTCTGAGTTGGGCTCTCCCTTGGTATACGCACAAGCATCGGGACCGTAGTGTTGCCCTGGCTTCCCATCTTACGGATCTAGCTCCGACTTCCCTCAGTTAGGAGTCATTTGCATGATTCCCTTACCCATCACCTTCCTACCCTCTTCCGGCCCTCACGCCCTAGTTAGGCAGCCCCGCATGCTTCATCTAGGTGCGCCCAGTATACCAGGCTCCCTTGTTCCCTTGCATGGTCGACCCTCCATAGCGGTCACCCCTTAGTCGAGCTTTACCCGCCCTGATGGTCTATCTGTTAGGGTCATTGGTTTTGTTCGCTCGCAGTTCCCTACCCTCATTGAGCCTGATGACATGTGTCTCCCTGTTATCTATGTGTGGATGCCCTTAGGAGTTTTCGACCCCTAGGCTGCATTCGCCACCCTCAGAGACCATCCCACCCTTTGGTTTGCGACACACTCCTCCTGTGACATATGGTTGTTTTGTTGATTGCTTTGTTGCTCTCAGACTGAGGTTACTGCCTCTGACATTTCTAGGATTTAGTTGTTCTGCTTTTGCTGTTCTTAGGACATACACTAGTCAGTTGTTTCCAGACTGAGGCTAGTGCCTCCAACATTCTAGGATCTAGTTGTAATTACTTTCTGCTCTCCTAGGACATGTATGCTAGTTAGTTGCTTCTGCTTTCCTAGGACATGTATGCTAGTTAGTTGCTTCTGCTTTACTTAGGCTGTTAGCCGTGACATTGTTGTTTTGTGACATTTTATATCCTTGGTTGCATCGCATGGACTCAGCATGGAGCTTGCTTCGCATCCTAGACTACTCAGGTTTTTCTTTTTCTTTGGTAGAGTTCCGCTTCTTGACGGAAGCGTGTTTGCATCTAGGCGATCCATCACAGGCCGAGGATCGTGTAGCGGACCTCTGGTTGGTTGGCCTGTGAGACCAGCCCCTTGGCCTGTTCTCACAGGCCTGTGTTCTATTCGGGGGCAGTCCAGTCCAGTCCAGGCYGGTACCTCTGTCGGTACCAGCCAGTCCAGTCCAGTCCCGTCAGTCCGCTGGGKTATAMCCCARCAGTTGTCTGTTTTYGCTCTCATTCTACAGTTGCACGATTTTGGAGTACGTGCGTTGGAGTCCAGCGTGGGAGCTGCGCTGTGCATCTCGCTCCCCCTTCTTCCTCCATCTCCATCTCTACCACTAGCGGAGCACCACACCTAGTGGGTCCGCTACAAAGGGTCAGTTCTGATACTTGATTGGGGAAATTTCAGGGATCTCTTTCGGACCCCTAATTTTTCCCGATCGGCCTGATGGAAGCGCAGGTCGATTCTCCCCTAGGCGCTTAGCCCAAGGCTCAATCCTGTGTATTTCGGGTGGCCGACTGGGTTGCGGCCCGCCCAGCACCGTGAAGATGGAGGAAGGGTCAGGGGGATCGGGCTCTAGTGAGATGAGCTCAACCTCGGGACAGAGTGGATCATACCGAAGAAGATCCATGACGTTCGCTGAGTAGAACGTAACGTCCTCCTGTCGTATGAAGTGAGCCAACTGACGAGGAGAAGTGAAGGCGATGTCGGGATGGCATCCAAAGGAACAAGTGTCCTCGGGAGGTAGGTCGGGAGGGATGTTGCCCGTGGTCCTAATGAAGGGGAATCGATGGGTCTGACCACACTTCGTTTCGAGAACGAGTGTCTCGGTCTCCCATTCGGCCTCTGTGCCACAGAGCCGGTGAGACCATGGGGTGCCAAGGAAAAAGTCGTACCCAGTCTCCAGCACGTTGAAGTATGCGGAGGAATGGTAGCGCTAAGGCGCCTGGGTACTATTCGGTGGCTGGAGGGTGAGGGAAAAGTGGAGGTTGGGGATCGTATGATTTAAGAAGTTTTGCGTCTTGTTATCTCCGAGGGTAACGAGATAGGAGAGCGGGACCCGCAGGTAGCTAAACAAGCATTCTCAACCACGCGAGGGTAAACGAAGTCTCCCTGTGAGCCGAAGGCCCATAAAGCGCGGTACACCCTCATAGATGTCCCCAAGCGGATAGGAATGATGGGGAGGGTGCGATCAGGGGCAGAGAGCAGAGTGAGAAGACGACGCAGCATGTTCGTGTGTCTCGTGAGTCGCTCCTCCTGACGAGCCTGGAGAATACTCAAATCCAGGAGAGATGACACAATGTCATCGCGAGTCACCAGCTGAGCACTACAACGAGCTGTTCGAATGGCGCGACGTGTCGGAAGTCTCAGAGGGGAAGGACTAGATGCAGCGGTCTGCTGTGGGGAAGACGGTACCTCGACGGATGGTGGGGTAGAGGGAACTACATTTGTCATGTCCTGAGGATCCTCTGGTGGGTTAGCCAAAGTGGCAAACCGCGACTCTGTGGTCGGGAAGCCGGCTACGTGCAAGGCCTCACCGGTACACTGCACCCTGGCTAGCTGGATAGGGGTGGCCAGACGGGTTCGGGGGGAGACTGATATCGGCGCTGACGAGAAATGTCAGCATAGTGCCTATCGAGGGCGGCATGGTATGGACACCGTGAGGTGTGTCCATCCTGGCGGCAACGAAGGCAGCCGCGACGGGCTTCGAGGGAGGCGCGTTCCGCAGGAAATAGAGCTCCACGAGGAGGGACGAAACCCTGCAGGAGGTCGATCTGAGGAACTTCGAACGTGCGGGCGCCAACCTGAGCAACCCGATTGCGTGCACGACCCATGGCAGACATGGCCGTCTGTAAGCGCTCGGCCACCGGGACAGCGTCGTCATCCAAGTGGTACTGGATAACGTCCCGAAGCTCAATGTCCTCGAAGGCGTCCCCAAGGGTAGGGTCGAGCTCAGTTGAGGCGTCCTCGCCATACTCGAGAGAACTGTAGCGCCGAGATAATGGCGCTCCAGGTCAAGTTGGTCGGCGAAAGTGGCTGGCGAAAGAGGATCAATCGCGAGTAGCACCGCGTGACTTGATGGCGACGGCATGGATCATGAAGAAGATGGAGCATCGGAGAAGCGACTTCGCATCTTCTGATACTGTCGACCAACCTCGTAGGCCTGCTCGGAGGAGGCGAAGCTCTGTCGCCAGAGCTCGATGCGGTAGTCAGTCGGAAGACTAACGACGAACCTGTTGGTCAAAAGGACCTCAGGTAGGAGTGTCTGGTCGCAAATGAGGTGGGCGTTTCAAAACACTCGGATGTGACGCTTTACGTCCGCTGGTGCAGAGGACCCGCGCCACTGCATTTGTGTGACCCAATCTAGGGCGTTGGTCGTTTCGTGGAGAGTGTTGTAGCGGTCATGAAGGAACGCGGTGAAATTCACGAGAGTGGGAGCCTCACCTGAGCATGTACGATTGGTATAATAGTTCTCCCATGCGGAGAACGAGCTGCCTCACAATTTAGTTGCCATCATAGAGCACCACAAGTTCTGACTAGTGTTGGTCAATGTTAGCTCGCGTGTGGCAGCCTGCAACCAGTGCGACACATGAAGTGTACCATCGTAGTCAGGTATATCCGACAGTTGCACAAGGGTGGGACCACTATACTGACGACGAGGGGAGAGAGGCTGATGGGCCTGCACTGCGGCGGCAAATGTCGGGGTCGGTGCTGGGGTGGAAGTGGTGGCAGGCTGTGAGCGGGGGCTGCTGGTGGAAGGTCTAGCAGAGGTGGAGGCAACGGCCGCAGCCAGCTGTGACGGACTGGAGAGGGGGCGGAGCCGGTTGAGGGAAACGAGCAGAAAAAACAGAGGCGGGAGGGGCGGTGTAAGAAGAAGAAGGGTGAACAACCTGTGAAGGGTGAGGTTGTCTCAAGGAGAGAATCTCCGCCTGGAGCTGTGGCCTGCGAAGTAGCCACTCATTGGGTGCGCGGGGTTGGAGGTGGAGGAGGCGAAGAGGGTACCCTAGTGGGAAGAGGAGTAACGAACTGCAGTGGACCCTG